AAGTCTTAGCTGAATATTCTGCTATAATAATAACTGCTTAATACACCTTTCAGATAAGAAAGATTCAGAATAATTCCCTTAGAAATCTAGATGCTACAGGCAGATAGCAACAGCAGAGCAAGAGTATACGCTCAGCACAACTACAAGCAGCAACAACTCGAACTACTCCGATATCACTGAACAAAGCATTCAAGCGCTGAAGGAAGAGCTTAGCAACAACACTCTTCATCATTCCTCATTACCTATATCAAGCATCATAACCAGGAATATGAACAAGGGATAATATCCTCTTAGTTATTAGTATGAATATCTAAACAATACCGAGAATGCCTCTCAGGCAATAGAAAGATTAAGCCAGAACAAGCAATTCAACAATTCACTAGAATCTCTCATAAACAATAAACTTAAGAAACCTACAGAAAGGTTTCCCTTCAGCATTGAATAGAATAAGGAAATAATATGAATCGAATATCTTATTTATAGGATAGAATTAGAAAAGCTTTTCATCTGCATCTCTCTGCAGAATATTAAAGCACGAAAAGATAAGAACTTTCGAATTAGCTTACTTTACAATCTATACTACGAATTAGCTTAAATCTTCTGCACCTATTATAGCTGCAGAATGCATTTCTCAGATAAGATACAATACAAATAGTTCCCTATTAGAGAATTAGAACAAATTCTTCAGATTGTTAAAGAACAGAAATTCTACTTCAGAAAGATTCTCAATAGATAGCACTATAATACATATATTGAGCTACTAAATAATTGCTTCATACAGTATATAAATAAAAAGATAGAATAGTAGCAATGCAAAATAATACTTTGTATAATTTATATTAATAATAAGGTTTGCAACTAGCATTAATAGAAGAAAGATTAGAAATAATAATAATACAGGCAAAAGCAAGCTAAGAAGCTTGCTTAAGAAGCAGCAAAGCAAGCTTAAAAGAATAAGCAGTTCTTAATAAACTCAAAAGAATAGAATTGCTTATAAAGAGACTGCAGATGATCAGACCGGAATAGTTCCTATATGAAGCTTCTAGAATAGATTATGCTTATATCAAGTTCGATATATACATTCAAGAATATAAATACAGCGCATTATTGAATAGTAGCGCTTAAAGAAACTTTATATCTCTATATATTATTAATTAAGTATAATTACAATGGAAATAGAAGAAGCGCTCATATACTTTCAGCATTATAGAAGAATAATCTATTGCATATAACTAAGAAGTAATCAATAAAAAGACTAATTATTTACCTATCTTAATTCAGAAATACGCAATTCAGATTTCTTTTAATATCACAGATATAGCACAGCATAAGCTAATTATAGAACTTCCATAGCTTAAGAAGCATAATTCTCGAATTAATTGAACTACTAGCCAGATCTCATGAGAACAAGCCATACCCAAAGAAATAATTACAATTAACAGCGCAGAATCGAAGCTAGTAATTAAAAAACATTCAGAAAAAGAAGCTTTATACAACTTCCTACATACTTTCAAATCAGCAGAGCTAGCAGTTCAAGAAAAAGAACCTAATAACAAGCAAACCCAAATAGTGCCAGAATGCTAATAGATTAGCAAAACAACAGAAGCAAGACCCTCAGCAAGTCGGTTTGCTCCGGAGCAACAAGAACAAGCTTCAGAATGTGGATTATAAACTCATACAGGAAAAACCTCAAAACTAAGCCCTCAAGCGCTCAGTTCAGCTTGAAGCAAATGCTTAAAGCTTTCAAAAACATCACCAAAAACAACGAGCGAAAAGAAGCATGCTCAATAGTATCTACTATTCCTTCAGATAGCAGAAACAGTATAAGAATCAGAATCAATACTTGTAAACATATTACAAGAATATTACAAGTTCAAGAAACTATTCCAGAAAGAATTGGATACAGGATTGCTAGAATACAGCCTATATAACCATAAGATTCTGCTACAAGAAGGAAAACAGCTCAAATTCTTTCTTATCTACAGATTAGATAAAGCATAGCTAAAAGCATTTAGAAAGTATCTCAATAAGAATCTTAAGAAAGAATATATACAATCATTGCAATTATCAGCAGAATACCCTATCCTGTTTATATCTAAGAAAAACAGCAAGCTTAAGCTATATATTAATTACAGATAACTTAACAATATTATAATTAAAAACCAATATCTATTGCTACTTATTAAGAAACTATAAGATAGATTGCAAGAAGTATAATAGTTCATAGTTCTGAATCTGAAAGAAGCTTATAATCTGATCAGAATAAAGAAAGAAAAAAAATAGAAAACTGCTTTCAGAATACACTATGAATACTACAAATATTTAGTTATGCTTTTTAATCTAACGAATGCTCCAGCTTTATTCCAGAAAATAATCAATTATATTCTATGCAAGCATCTGAATCAGTTCATTATTGCTTATCTTAACAACATTCTTATCTATTCTCGAATACTTGAAGAATATAAGAAATATATAGAAATAGTATTATAAATGCTTCAAAATGCAAAACTCCTTGTAAAACTTACAAAGAGTCATTTTTATATACAAAAAGTTAATTATCTCGAATTCATAATCAAGCTGGAATGCATCAAGCTATAAAAGAATAAGATAGAAGCTATTAGGAACTAGCTAATTTTCAAAAATATTAAGAATATTAAATCTTTTCTCAAATACATCAACTTCTACAGACAGTTCATTAAGAACTATAGCCGAATTACATATTCTCTTACAAATCTTATCAAAAGAAATCAACCCTTCGAATAAATCCTCAAAGCACAAGAAGCTTTTAATAAAATCATCAAGCATATTATCTTAGAGCTAATTCTGTATAAAGCAGATCTCTATAAATCTTTTGAAGTTAAGATTAATGCATTAGGATATGCACTTGAAGAACAACTTAGCTAGCAAGATAATCAAGAGCATCTAAGAATTATAAGCAACTTCTTAAAGAAGTTAAATAGCTTGGAAATCAACTACAGAATTCCTAATTAGAAACTTATAGCAATAATAAAAACCTTCAAGAAATAGCAATACTATTTTATTAGCATATAATATCTAATCATAGTTCATTCGAATTATAAGAATCTAATTATATTCATAACAACTAAGGTTTTGAATAAGCAATAAGTTAGATAAGCAGAATTCCTCTTATAGTTCAATTTCAAGATTATATACTGCAAAAGCTCAGAAAATAAATAAGCAAATATTCTTAGCAGAAAATCAAACTATCGAAATGCAGATTTCTCGAATATACAGAACATCTTCGCTCAAAACGAGTTGGGAAATCTTATCAATGCATATAGAGAACTGAATGCTGCTCTCAGAATCAGATCTTCAGAAAGAGATTCAGAATTAATAATTCCAAATGAACAAAACAATTATATTAAGAATATATATAATGCATCTGCATACAAATACCAGAGAATTAGAGCAATCTATAAATATATTAAAAAATACTAGAATCTATTAGATTTTAGAAAAAGAATTGGAAATATTCTATAATAATGCAATATCTGCAAGAAGAATAAAGCGGAAAAATATAAGCTTTACGAATTACTGCATCTCTTATTAATATTTATAATTATTTAGCAATTTATCAGTTTAGACTTTATTATCAAGCTATTTCTTTTATAAGAACTCTTAATTAAAATGTAATATAATAGCATTCTAATAATGATTTGCAAACTAAGCAAGTATGCTTATTTTCTTTTTTACAAGAAAAGCAGTATAATAGAGGAATTTGTATATGCATTCTTTAGAATAATTATTGCTAATTATAGTATATTAGAAGAAGTAATTTCTAATAGAAATAGAAAGTTTAATTCAAAATTTTGAACTTTACTTATAAAATAACTTGGAATATATTACAGAATATTCACAGCATTTTACTTATAAACAGATAAACAGATAAAAAGAATGAATTAAGTTATTAAATAATACTTATAATACTATATCAACTAGAAACAGAACAACTGAATTAATCTATTATCTCTTGCATAATTCGCTTATAATAGCGCAGATATAAGTATAACAAAGAAATCATTATTCTTTATACTTTATAAATATAATCCAACAGCTTATTACAAAGCATTGCTGAAAGCAGATGCAGAAGCTGCAAATAAAAGAGTTAAGAAGATTAAGAAAGTTCAGAAAGAATTTCAATCAGAACTACGATTTACTCAGAAACGAATAATATAATATGCAAACTCTAAAAGAATTGAGAAACTAATCCTATAGAAAGAAGATAAGATTTATCTACTTCAGAAAAACATTAAAACAATCAGATCCAGCAACAAACTCGATTATAAGAAGTTAGAATTATTCAAAATCTTGCAGCAGATTTCTCCGATTAATTACAAATTAGCATTATTTTATAGAATAAGAATATATTCAGTTTTTCACATCTTACTGCTAAAACCAGCAGTATAGGAAATATCAGCGGATAATACAGCAGAAGTAGAAAATAATGAATCAGAGTATGAGATAGAAAAGATTCTCAAGCATAGAAATATGAATAGCACGAGAGAATATCTTATCAAATAAAAGAATTATTCAGCAAGCAAAAATTCATGGAAATTACAGAAGAATATTAAGAATGCTTAAGAAAGAATAGCTGAGTATTGGAAAAGAAAGAAAACTAGTATCTAAGACAATTGTTCCGCTCCGAACCAAAACCCAGAAGCCTCGGGAATCTTACTCTTCAGAAAGCTCAACTAATCTATTACAGAATCTTCCAAATCTACGAAATTCCAATCAAAATCTTCAAAGAAAGAATCCTTAGCTACAATAACAGATTCCTCTGCTACAACAGCCTGCATTTCAGCAGTAATATGCATCCTTTCAGCTTCAGCCTTCTCAGCTTCTATATAATCTAATTCCTTTATGCAAATAATATTATAATGCAGAGTATATTTCATCTTCTCAAACTATATCCGCTTCTATTAATACAGATAGAGAAGCTTGATCTTCCTCTTCTCAATCTCATTTTCCAACTTTCAATGTTAAGTAGCAATATTGCAAAGCTTCTCGGGAGAAGAGCTCATAACATCGCACTTGAAGCAGCCTAGTTGAATGCATTCGATATAACGAGAAGAGCCTTCAGAAAATACCTTGCAGAACTCGAGATTATAATTCTTGCAATAGGAATAAACGAATATCTCAATAAAATTTTCCAAGAAGCAGGAAACTAAGAGATTGCAATCTTGGATACTCTTTGGAATGGAAGAAGGTTTACAAATACGGAATTTGTTGATTCTATTCGATATCTCAATTAGGAAAGCAAGATTATATATATAAAGAACTTGTTAGAATACTTATAGAAGATTGTTGAGAATAATAACTGATAGAAGAGAGATAATGTTATAACTTATTTAATATACAGATTACAGAATAAGCTCTACCAACTAAGGGATTAGATATTACAACTCAATGTTGAGTATTAATCAGAATTATGTAATCCGGATTAGGATTACTAGCGCAACTATATTAACTATAAACATAATCAATATATTTAGGAAATAACTATAAGGAATCGGAATATAGTTAGAATAGTCAGAACTGAAGAGCTGGATATATAAGAACATATTCATTACCAATAGATAGATTCAGTATATAGCTCTTCAGTTGTTAATCTAAGTATTCAGTTTCATACACTGAATAGCTCCAAAGGCAGTGAATACTTGCATTGCTTATTAGAACTTGTACGGTTCCGTATTCAAGAACTTAATACTTTGATACTGCTCTTGTTAGTATAAACTCCTTCGTGTACTTAGGAATCTTCGGATTGCTGCAGTGCTCATTACATTAGTCTTCTTATTGATTATTTCTTAATTGTATGCAATAGATTATTCTTTTATAGTGCTAAGAGTATATAAGCATTTCTTTCATTTCCATTATAATTATATCTAATTAATAATATATAAGAATATAAAGTTTCTTTAAGCGCTACTGTTCAATAGTGCGCTATATTTATATTCTTAAATATATATATTAAACTTGATATAAGCATAATCTATTCTAGAAGCTTTATATAGAAATTGTTTCAATCTAATTATCTATAGTTTTTTTATAAGCAATTCTATTCTTTTAGATTTATTAAGAACTATCTATTCTTCTAAGCTTGCTTTGCTACTTCTTGAGCAAGCTTCTTAGCTTGCTTTTGCTTATATCATTATTATTTCTAATCTTTCTTTTGTTAATACTAGTTGCAAATCTTGTTATTGATATAAATTGTATAAAGCATTATTTTGCATTACTACTATTTTATTTTCTTATTTATGCATTATATAAAGCAGTTGTCTAATAATCTAATATATATATTGTAGTGCTATTAGTTGAGAATCTTTCTAAAGCAGAATTTCTATTCTTTAATAGCTTAAAGAATTTGTTCTAATTCTCTGATAGGAAATTATTCATATTGCATCTTATCTAAGAAATGCATTCTGCAGCTATAATAGATATAGGAAATTTAAGCTAGTTTGTAATATAGATTGTAAAGTAAACTAATCTAAGAATTTTCATTTTATTATGCTTCAATGTTTTGCAAGGGAATGCAAATGAAGAGCTTTTCTAATTCTATTTCATAAATGAGATATTTAATTCATATTATTTTCTTATTCTATCTAATGCTAAAGGAAAATCTTTCTGTAAGCTTCTTGGATTCATTGTTCATGAGAAACTTTAATGAATTATTAGATTATTCGTTCTAGCTTAATCTTTCCATTGCTTGAGAAATGTTTTCAGTATTATTTAGATATTTATATCAATAATTAAGAGAATATTATTCTTTATTCATTTCTCTAATTATAGTATTTAGTATAAATAATAGGAAATAGCGAAAAGTATCGTTATTAAGCTCTTCCTTCAGCGCCTGAATACTTCATTTAGTAATATCGGAGCAGTTCGAATTATTGCTGCTCGTAATTATGCTAAGCGTATACTCTTGCTCTGCTATTGCTATCTGCTTGCAATACTTAGATTTCTAAGGAAACTATTCTGAATCTTTCTTATTCAAGAAGTATATTAAACAGTTATTATTATAGCAGAATATTCAGCTAAGATTTCTATAATCAACAGAATCCGATACTTGCTTTAAGAAAATATTTTTGCTTAGTTGATTAAGTTTCTATTATCAAGCAATATTCATCTAGCATTCTTTCTGAACTAGTTATTATTTGTTCTTTCGGAATTAATAGTAGTTGTATATAATATATTCTTATTTGTTGCAGTTATAGTAAGTAATACTATTCTTCTTGCTATACTGCTTATTAGCAGTATTAAGTTCTATGAAATTAGTATGTATAGTGCTGCTCTAAGCTATACTGCTATATTGATTGCTATTCTTGTTTTAGAGTTTCTTGCTTATATTAGCTGAAAATCTTCAAATCTAGCTTCCTTCCTTTTTAGATTTTTCTATCTGTTATTTATATAGATAATTATTAATATGAATAGCTTGATTAGAAAATATTGCAAAGTTTTTCAGCTAATTCTGCTTAGAGATTTCATTTTTAATATTATTTTTAAGTTTCTTATAATAATACTTTATAAGATTCTTATTTTTTTATAGGAATTATACTGAGAATTGCTTGAATCTAACTATATAAGCAGAAGCTGATTTAATCTGCTTGAGGTTTATAAGCTGCTAAGCTGTAATATATTCTTCATTGAAATTATCAAAGATTTCCTTGAAAGCTTTTTCGAAGCTTTCAAAAGAATCAAATATATTCTTAGTAATCTGAGTATATGCATTAGAATTGTTCTAATGCTTTAAGTAATTGTATAGAGAAAGCTTGTACTAGATAAAAATATTCTTTTTGAAATAAGTTTCTGCAAGAATAACTTTCTCAGATTTCTTAGTAAATTAAGTTTTGTAGTACAGAAAATACGCTCTATAGTAGATAAGAAATTCATGTAGCATCTTTTAATTGCTATTATATATAGCAAGCTTATTCATTTTGTATGCTTTTCCAGTGCTACTGATAATTGCAGAAATAAATTGCGCTTACTAAGCTTATTAAGCTAGCTAGATTTATTAATTAGCAATAATAGTGCTCTAAGCTTGCTATTATTTATATAGATTCTGAATATGCTAAATAAGCTAATATACTTAGTTAATTAATTCCTTCTGAATAAGAATGCGCAAGAATAAAAGAGTTTCTAAAGAAGCTATCGTATTCCGTATTGCTCAAGAAGATAATACTAAACTATTCTTAAATAAGAATTATTAAAATGTAATAAGCATTACAGCAATCCAAAGATTTCTAAGTATACGAGAAGATTTATACTAACAAGAGCAGTATTGAAGTATCAAAATCTTGAATACGGAACTATACAAGTCTTAATAAGCAATGCAAATATTTACTATCTTTGAAGCTACTCAGTATAGAAGATTAAATATTTAGATTGATAACTGAAAAGCTATATATAATGATCTGTTTAATGATAATGAATATATGATTATATATTCAGCTCTTCAGTGTAGCTTGCTGATGCTTACTGAGGCTTACTGCTGCTCAGTGATGCTTACTGAGGCTCACTGCTGCTCAGTGGTGCTCACTGAGGCTCGGTGAGCACAGGTGAGCTCTTCTGATTGGTTAGCCTGTAATCCTAATCCTGGATTACGTAATCCTTGTGGGTTGTCTAATGTTGAGTTATAACACCTGGTCCTTGTTTGCCTGTGACCTGTTTTCGTGATCTGCATGTTGGATGGGTTATAACACAAACCCTAACTAATCATCTTCGCACTACAATTGCGCAGAGAACGTTTCTGTTTCTGCAAATGCATCAAACGAGCTGTTACCTTGCTTAATTTAAACTGAAGCTCGAAAAGAACTTTCTCTGCATCCAACTCCTCTTAATCTAAACAATCAAGCTTAGTAGTAATACAAAATACTATCAGAGGAATCAAAAAGCGAACAAGAAATAACTCAGAAAAGAATAAACTCATAAGCATTTACCGGAATACCGGAACTATTGCAGAAACAACTCTAGCAAATACAATAGGAATACCTTTTAGTATCTTTCATCATCTTATACTCCAATTCCTTCGAAATACAGAAAGAACAAAGCATAACTTCAAAATCTTAGAGATTGATAGTTAGAGAAAGCTGAAGATATTATTCAGATTTTCGAGAAAGAGACTTTTCGATTCTATTCAACATCTCAATTAGGAAGGCATAATCAAGCTTATGAATAGCTTGCCAGAAAACTTACAGAAGTATATTAAGAATAATAACTAATAGAAGGAAGATGATGTTATAGCTTATTCAATATATAAGTTACAAAACAAGCTCTGCTAACAAGGAACCAGATATTACAACCCAACATCGAATAATCATCAGGAATTACATAAGCAAGAATTAGAGTTGAATTACAATAACACAGATAAGCTGCTTACTGAATCACTATAATACAGATTACAGATCATAGTAAGCTGAGTAAGCTATAATGAAGAGCTGAATATATAAGAATATATTCATTATCAACTAGATAAATCATTATATATAGCTCTTCAGTTATTAATCTAAGTATCAGATTACTCTCTACTCTAATAGCTCTAAAAAGCAGTGAATATTTGCATTGCTTACTAAGACTTGTATAGTTCCGTATTCAAGAATTTGATACTTTGATACTGCTCTTGTTAGCATAAACCCCCTTTGTATACTTTGGAATCTTTGGATTGCTGCAGTGCTCATTATAGATATACAGAATATCTTTGCTCAAGACAAGTTGGGAAACCTTATCAATGCATATAGAGAACTGAATGCTGCTTTCAGAATTGAATCTTCAGGAAAAGATTCAGAATTAATAACTTCAGACAAACAAAACAAATATATCAAAAATATATACAGCGCACTAGCATATGAATACTAGAGAGTTAGAATAACTTATAAATATATCAAAAAATACTGGAGTTTATTAAGCTTTAGGAAAAAAATTGAGAATATTCTATAACAATATAATATGTAATGAGCACTGCAGCAATCCGAAGATTCCAAAGTATACAAAGGGGATTTATGCTAATAAGAGCAGTATCAAAGTGCCAAATCCTTAAATACAGAACTATACAAGTCTCAGTAAGCAATGCAAGTATTTACTGCTTTTGAAGCTATTAGAATAGAGAGTAATTTAATACTTAGATTAATAACTAAAAAGCTATATACTAAATCCATTTAATAGTAATAATCATATTCTTATATATTCAGCTCTTTAGTATAAATCACTATTTAATAGCGCTCTGCAG